AATTACAGAAAACGTGTGGTTCTCAGAGAGGTTTCCTCAGACCCCAACCCAACCCAAGGCATGCATTTTCAAGATTCTGTTACCTGTTGTTATAACCAGGACAGTACTTCATTATAACTACAAACTAATATTTGTACTGAAGGCCTCTCTAGAAATCTCCCTTGGTTTCTAAACAACATATACTGTTAACGGCATATGCCACTTGTTATAAGTTCTCTGTTCTGGAATTTGCACTGCAATGCTTTATGACTTTTTTCATGTAGAAAGTGGCCAGACAGACTCCTTCATGCAGACCTTACAGCTAGGATATGCTCCAGCTCATAGCAAAATATGCTAAGGGGATGATTTATTAGTAAAATACAACCTTTTCAGAGTTGTGGCAAAACACACCCACTGTCTAAAGCAGAAGCTGCTTTGCTATCTTCACTGGAATTGTGCCAAAAGAAAATTAAGTCCTAAATAGCATCTTGCATAGTCAGGGTAGAGCACAATGCAAACACAAGCTTGTTACTGTGCCTGGCGCTCTTAGAACAGGTATAAATATATTTTCATTTACAAATGGGGAAACTAGAGCAAGCCTGTTGAATAACTCGATAAAGGTTCACAGAAGATACGGGCAGAGCATCTAAATCCCAGCTTCATCCCCGACAGGCAAGCAGCACCGATACTCCCCCAAAAAGGCAGGATGGATGAGAAGAATGGCTGGACCTGGTCATGTCTTCCTTGGGAAGAGGGGCAGGGTTTGGCACAGCCCTGCCTGCCCGAGGTGCCCTTCCCTCTGCTAGCAGAGCAATTTGGCAAGAGCTGGTTGATGCTGTGGTTGCCCACTCCCTGCCTGGGGACACGTGTGCCCAGTTTGTCCCTGCTTTAAACCTTCCTCCCTTCAAACCATGGATCCCTCCCCAAGTAAGCTCGTATTTGGGTGAATTGGGATGCTTGCACGGAATACGGCGTAAAACCAGTCGGCTGATCATACTCGAATGGTTTAGGAAGGCGGTGCCCCTCGCCATTAGCGACTGCTCCCACAACACCGCAGGGGGAAGTGCCAGCAGCCAGGAGAGGCTCGAGTTGGTGAAGCCTGGCTTCCTGCTGTGAACACCAGGCCAGCTACCTCCAGCACAGCTAACTGCAGCAGGGACCTGCAATTCCTCCTTCCAAACTTTAACCCCATACCTTGGTAATAAATGAACACACGTTCGGTAGAAATGCAACTTACAGATGCGCAAAGGTGCGTGGAATGCTCAAAGGTAAAATGGGGGAAACAAGTTAATGAGACTGGAAGTAACTTGCATAATTAAATAACCTGTATGGAATTATGTCCTCCTAATAAGAGTTATGTGTTGTTTGTGTTTTGCAAACTTCATGAACAAAGGATATTGAAAACACACAGAAAATTAGAAAGTAAGCATGAGACCATACACAGAAAAAAAATGCAGCCATTATTATGCAGATTAATTACAGCTTTCAATCTGAATTTAGAGACAGAATCAGTGATTTTTTTGAGGTGGTGACAAATCCTGCCCATTTACTCATAATGTCAGAGAAAGCGTTAAAAAAAAAATATTAGTGCCATATACAAAATAAACAACATTTGACCCTGGAGAGTAAAGTATCGTTAGGAACTTTCTAAGCCATTAAAAAAAGAAAAAAAAAAAGAGAGGGAGAGAAAGAGACGCATGCAAAAAATTTCATTTCAGCTGAAAAGCCCGTGTTCTAAAATGATGTTTCAAATGCTTTTAACACAGCTGAAAATACCTTTTAAACCCATGAGGCTTCATCTACAACTCTGGCTGAAGACTATTCATTAAAGGAAATAGATGGGGACCAGATGAGGGTTTCTTAATCACTGGTTCTCATCACCAGCCCCCATGACTGGGACTACACCAGGTCCCAGCACAAGTCCGAGCAGCTTCAAAGGCACTGCAGCATCCGTGGGCCGGCAGGGGCCCCTGGGGCACTGCAGAGCCCCCACTGCCATGCCGCTCCAGCCCTCGATTTCTCCTGCACCATCCCCATCTCCCCCAGCACCTCCTCAGTGCAGCAGGTCACACCACCAGTTAGCAGAGCTCCCCGCTGAAGGAGCGGCGCCCAAATTACTACGCAGGGACAGCTCGAGGCTGCCTTAGCTTCCCTGACCCGAGGACTGGGTGCCACAGGCTGCAGGCTGGAGGAAAGGGGATGTGGTGACGCTGTCTGCTGCTCGGAGAGGCATGACCGTGCACAGCCTCCTCCTGCACCACCAAACCTGCTCGGCAGAGCAGCCTTACAGGGCACCCATTTTTCTCCAGAGAAGATGAAGCTTCACAGAAGCTGCCCTCAGACACTCTTGCCTACAAATCCAACACAGAAAATCCCCAAATCAAGAGATGCAGACAGCTCTGGTTGAAGCCCCGTGCTGCAACCCCGATGGCTCTGTGTGGGCTGGAGCAGTTTGCTATTTAAGAAGCACAGGCGACTGAAAGAGTAAAGAGCTAGAAAAGAGCACAGCACATTTAGTGTGGTTTTAAGCAATGCTGCTGGGCATGTTCCAGTTCAAGTGACCCCCCAATTAGCTGGGCGAGAAACAGATTTGGAGCAGCAATCTGGGAACTTTGTAAAATTACTTCAGGGGATTTCCTCTTTCCTCACTCACATAAAACTTCCCCCAAGGTGCAAAACCACTAACTGCTTTTATCACTCTGTGCAGGGGGATGGGATTAAAAATAACCGATAAGAACAATGAATTAAAATGGAACAAAAGAAAGACAACAGTAAAAATGAACGGTAAAAACAAAACAAAAGGACAAATAAGCGAAATCTCAGGCAGAGGGCCAGGAACACATCAGCAGAATGAAACAAGACAAATCTGAGGCAGGGTATCACCAACACATTGCCAAACCCTCCAAAATTGCTGAACATACCACAGTGCCATTAGGTTTTTGTGGGAGTTCTACAGACCTCTACAATACATGCCCTTAGTCATCTCTTTTCCAAGTTGAATGATCCCCATTTTACCCAGCCACTCCTCATATGGAAGCCATTCCATACCTTTGAACATACCTTTCCATATAGGGGATGGACAGGCTTGATCAATAGTGGCACGTTTGCCACCACTTTTTTCTAGTTGCTGCCCTCTTAAAGACTTTCCCAGGAAGAAAAAAAAAGTCATTATGCTCAGTGTAAGTTGTAGCCACAAGCCTGAACCTTCTTCTTTGTTGCCTCACGTTAGCATCACAGGGATGACCGATGCCACAAGTCTTTGTACCTTCTGTAAAAGTAGTAGTGTAGCTTTCATGTAGAATTAGCCCTCTTTTTTTTTTTTTTTTTTTTTTTTAAATCAGCGATAACTAAATCATTCAGAAAACTACAAAGAAATGTGGAAATGTCCTTATTTCTCGGTTCAAGTAACCCTTCCCTGGACGCCTTCCCAACCCTTTGGTAAAACAGACGCTCCTACGGGTCCAGCAACAGCCTCACATCTTGCCTGCAAAGCAACCTTTCTGCACCCCAGCAGCGCACGTCTTCCAGGTCTGAGGAGAACGGGAAAGCCATTGCCCTCCATGTGCTGACGCAAGAGGAGCAGACAAAAGAAAGGAGGGGGAATGTGCGGTGCAGTGTCAGCTGCGTCCCCCAAAATGTCCCCCAACCCAATTGCAGAAGGTTTCTTCACTGCCCCCAGCCTGGTCAAGGCCATACACCAGCTAAGGGGGGAACAGCTGTAGCCTCTGTTTACGAGTGATTAAAACCTCAAATGCCAGTGACTTCCTGAATTAAATAAACAAAACAAAAAAAAATATGAAGCAAACACCTTAAAATAGAGGGGGAGATGTCTTGCTTCTCTTTACCTCAGACATAAACAGGAATAATGAAGTCTCTCTTGTTTTGCTTGAAAGATCTTGTTTGCTCAAGAAACCCTTCCATCCCGAGGATGGGGCAGAGCTGCTGATCTTTAGCCTTCATTTTCAGGTAGTATGGTTAAAAGCCACTTAAAACTGGGGACCTATTCCACATACTGAAATCAGAAAGGTAAAACTAGTATAAATCAGAGAAAAATCAAGGCAAAATCATACTATTCAGATAATAAAATTCTCCTCCTTTCCAAGAAATCAAGTTTTATTTCATTAGTCTCTAACACTGTTAGTTTTGCAATTCTCCAGCTGTCCCTACAATCCCTTAGGGTAAACAACACTTAAAATGTCTAATGAAAAAAAAAAAAACCAAAACAAGCATAAGATAAATGTTAGGTCTGTTCATGATGTAGGAAAGACATAAGCTTAACTAAAATTAGATTTTAAACTGATATAGTTAAATTACCTACACCAATGCAAACCAGGTTAAAATCATTTTTAAGAACATCGACTTCAGAGAACATGAGAGTTCTTAGAGCAAAATCAAACTCCTAGAGCCTCTTTTGTACGTGATGGAAAGGGTCTGGCAGGCAGCAAACTCCATTTTCAACTACAGTGTCAGGGTTTTCTAAAGATAAAATTCAGTAACACTTTGGTTTATATAAGACAGAATAACAGGAATAGAAACATAATTGAGAGGTTTTCTAAAGATAAAATTCAGCAACAGTTTGGTTTATATAAAAAGACAGAATAACAGGAATAGAAACATAATTGAGAACAATTGAGACAAAATTCAGAATAAGCCACTTAAAAATGCTGTTTTGGGGTGGTAGAGGGCTTGCATATAAGTAGACTCCTAGATTTTTGTTTGGGTTTTTTTTTTTTCCCCAAGTGAGCTATCTTGGTGGTAGCTGATGTTCCTGTGACTGATTCAGCTGTCAGCTCTGTAGTCTAGGGTAGGGATGATTTAACTTTGCCTGCTGCTGTTCAGTCTAAGTGAATAACCAACCTGAGTCCCGACTCACATAGCAAAAGAATGCCTGGAAGCAGCTAAAATTCCCTATTTACCATCACAGCCACTGACCTCTCTCTCTGCCAGTCTTTAGCAGTACCAGCAACTTGAACTAACCTGGCTAGCACCATGGACTCTGCTTTTCTGCATTTGACTCTGTCTAGAGATGACTGCTTCTGACCCCACCAAAAGGTTGGATGTTATTCTCCACAGCTGTAACACCATCATCTTCCTTCTCCAGTGGCTGTAATGTAGTGGGTAAATATTATCAGCTTAGAGTGGGGCAAGGTGTCCAAATCACAGAGAAAGTCAACGGCAGAGCTGGGAACGCAGCTCTGGTTTCCCCGACTCACCCGTGCCCTAATCTGTGAGTCCCGCTTTCTGGCTCCACGGAAGCACAGGAAAGAGCATCCGTCCAACTCACTAACAACTCAACGCAGAATCAGGAATACCTTCTGACGTATTAGTTCTTAAGTTCAGTTTGTGTAACTCCCCAACACACACCTAGTAATGCTCCTGAGGAAAACCGTGCCCAACTGTGCATACTGCAACAAAGCCTGTTTCTTGTAGAAAATAGTGTGAGGAAGCAGACTGAATGGCAGGGGAGGGTTGTCGGGGATCACCTGGCCCCCTGACATAATACACTTTTCCTAACACAAGCCTACAAGCAGGGTAGTGTCTCTAGGAACGAGGAAGCCAGATGGGGCAAACAAATAAGGAAAAGAAAAAAGAAGGAAGAGAAAAAAAAAATGAAGGAAGAGGGAAAAAAAACCACCGAAGGAAGAGGAAAAAAAAACCCAAAGGGAGAGGAAAAAAAAAACCAAAGGGAGAGGAAAAAAAAAAACCAAAGGGAGAGGAAAAAAAAAAAACCAAAGGGAGAGGAAAAAAAAAGAAAAATAAAAAGGGACTGAAACCTGGAAAGTAGTTGTTCTGGCAGGATAGCCAACGAAACAAAAAAAGTGCCACATCAGGACGGAGTTCAAGGGTAACCTCGTGGCAAAAAAAAGTCTGATCCTGGGATTTATAAACAGGAAACGGTGAGCAGAACCACAGAGCAAGCGAGAGGAACAGAATAATGCAACTGCTCGTGGCTGCAGAGAAGGCATTTGGGCGAGACCTGAAGAATACCAGGAGCTTGGTTTATCGAAAGCAGGCGCAGGAGGTGACTTGA